CTTTCTCTGAACATTTCTGAAAGGGAATAAAAAGTTTTTTTTTTTTTTTTTTTTTTTTTTTTTTTTTTTTTTTTTAAGTATTATTTAAAACTTGTAACTGAGTTATTATAAAATGTAAAGGGAATAATTCTTTTAATTATACTTATAAGATTTTTTTTACCCTTCATTTCAACAATACATATTCCAAAACTCTTTATTACGTTCTAAGTGCGCATCTCATAGCATTTGCTTTACAATACCTTTTAACAGATCGCTTTCCAATACGAACAATTTTTTGCTTAAAATAGTTTTATAACGTATTTGTCAACAGGATTTCAATTTATGTTTACAATTCAATATTAAGGTTATTATATATTTAGATAACATTTATAATTATTATAAATTAGATAAATTTAATCATTAGATTTCTTCACAGTACTTTCACAGTTGTTTATAAGTGAATAAATTCTTCATTTCAAATACATTTATAAATAATTTAATGAATATTTAAGTATTTTGTCAAAGGCAGATACATGCTTTTTGCAAGCACATGCATAAATACCCATACATATATCCTATTTATCATTTCCGGCATGTGCAAATCTTTAATATCTGTGCATTCTCTATATATTTCGTGTAAAGTAATTTACACTAATTTAGCATACACCCGAAAGTTTTACATAAAAAATATATATGAATATAATTTGAATGAAAATTATAAGTATTATTTTTAATACCCACTCAAAGATCAGTTTTTCTTCAAAATTCCTCCACGATGGCATCTCTCTCTTTAGGCAGATAGCCCTTGCATGCGTTACTCTATTTAATAAAAACTTAATCTGACCTATGTGCCTAATTACAAATATTTTAACATACATAATTTTATATTTACATTTAGCCATCAAGTTTTCAAACTTTTCAAATCTTCTAGAAAATAAATTTTGGCAGATCTCTTTTAGCAATTTTCTTAAAATCTATATTTTTTGTAGTGCAACAGCTTAGAATTTTATAAAACAAATTCATAATCAAAATCGCTGTTGTTAGTTATCGAAAAATAACCAAGATGTGATTTTTGCGTAAATGTCAGTAAACTATACAAATTGCTATTATCCATCACACTATGAATGTTTCTTTCATGCGAGAGTGTCCCTTTTTCGATTTCTATGGAACTGTCGTGTGTCGAAATACTATCAGAATCTTGTCAAGCGAGCTTCTGAATGTAAACAAAGAACACCCCGTCTGGTGACCCAAGCTTCAAAGCAGTGCTTCACTTCTAGCGCGGAATGGCCCGTCCTCCCTTTCCTACCTCCATGGTCAGAGCGCTCTGTTTCTCGAAAGTCATAGTCCTTGTTTTTGAATTTTCGGTACTAAACCTTCACAGTGTCATATGATACAACATTAGTACATAAAGCTGAACACATGATTTGGTGAGATTCTGTGGCTGACCTTTTGCAACAGAACTGGAAGTAAATGATGGTTCTAATCTGGTAGCTCGATCGTTCCATTTCAGATACCTTGTTCTTAATGACAACGATAATCGTTTACAAATTTCACAATACGGTGCTCTAAAGCAGGGCTCTTTCTTTCAAATGCTAAAAAATCGTGTGACAAAATATGATTAAACACGCCAACGCGAACTGTCTGCGCAGACAACATTAGCGGTGGCGTCAAACTTTCGTTAAAACCCGATATTTTATTACCTTAACAATGATATTTTTTAAATATTATTTCTATTGTTCGTGTTTCTGATTAACCTTCGTATACAGTAAATATGAGGACTGTAAGGCATATTTTTAGCTACTGCAGTATATTCCGGCGTATAAAGCGCACTTTCAGCACAAAAAAATTAAGATCGAAATTTACGAGTGCGCTTTATACGTCGGATATAAAAATGATCGATTCAAAAAAAGTGATGAGAATAAAAACATTAGATTTCTATATATACTTAAATAGATAGAATTATGTTTAAGAAGTTTATTTAAAAGAAGAAATGAACCTTGTGAACAGAAAAATTTTCATTATCGGATAACATGAAACTTTCATCATCTTCTCTTTCCTTGTATCTCCAGACACATCATCGAATTCTGTTTCATCTTCATCATTGTTACTCTTATCCATAAATAAATTATCATCATCCGTTCCACCTTTCACCAACACCAAACGCTCTTGTTGCAGCACGATTTCCATTTTCTTTCGCAAAACGAATGGCTTTGCATTTGAAACTAGCACTGTGTTTCTTTCTTTTCGCGGAAGCCATATTTACTACTAAAAGAAATATTACATCAATTGTATTTCAGCTAAAGCAAATGCGGTTTAAACTTAAATCATTTTCGATTATCAATTAAATAGCGGCTTCAAATGACTATAGAAAGAGAAAACATCTAATTCCTTATTCTACGAGTTCATTAGCTTCATTAGAATTATTATGGAAATGCATTATTTCTCCAAATTATATCCCCTTTTCTCGAAACCCTACAATCGCATTCTTTTGGACACTTGCATCGAACACAATCCATCCTTTTTGCAGAAATATTTACTCCGTCAAGCATTTAACACGTACACACATTGTTCCCCCTTTATCGCTAAATAACAGCATTGCACTTATATCTTTTACTTTTCTTCGTGAAGAATTCTGTGCGCGTTATACGGTGAATATACCTGAAAATTAAAAAAAAATATATAGTTTGAAATTACAGATGCTCGTTATACGCCGGAAAATGTGGTATTAAAGCTTGTGAAAGTTTCTAATAGTATTGCTTTTGCAGTTTTTTGGAATCCCTTGATTTTAGGGATTGTTGGAGTAGTAGATCTTACAGTACCAGGATGTCGAAGAATATTCATGCTAAAATCTGATATGCTGAAATGTACGACATGGATATATTGAAATGTACGAATGACTTATGATATGTGAACAAATTGTGGGCGTTTCTAAATATATAGGATTAGGATTCGGGAACTTTTATCAGTATTGAAAAAAGATCCATTTCGAATATTTTAAGATATCAGAAGAAAATTTACCTTATCATTGCGTTGTGCCGTCTGGAGTTTTTCACACCCTTGAAGAAAGTCTTATTATTTTCATTAATGCGAATTTTGGTCTGTCGCAAAATAGAAATTGTAGAAACTATACCGAAATTTTTTGCTGCAAGTCTCACGCGCAGGATATCCAAAGAAAAAAATAATGCAACAATTTTTAACGTTGTGTTGATTTAATGCTTGTATCATAACAGTTCTGCCTCTTGTTTACCATTCTGTATCTATTGAAATTTTAAAGGTTTTACTTCTTGGTATAACTGTTCAGCTTAAAGTTGTTTAAAGTGTTAAACTGAAATTTGAATGAAAACAGGCATTTTACATTCTATCAGCATTAATTTTTGACTCCCTTCAGACTTTTTGAACTGGTATCCAAATAACAAGAAAAGAATAATTTTCCTAATATTTGTTGACATTATTTTAAACCATCCGTTTCCTTTTCACTTCTGAAACAAAACTTGATAAAATTTATGCCATTCTAAAGGTCCCAGCTCTAATTTTAAAGGTCCTCATTTTTGATAACTAAGAAGTGAAATAAGTATACAAAAGACAAAACAGTGTTCACTGCAGCTAAACTGCTGCCAAATGTTGCCATTGGAAAGGGTGTAAAATCTTTAATTTTATTAGCTTTAAAACTAAAATCTTCTTAATGAATTAAAAGGTTGAAAAGCAAGAAATAAGCCTCTTAGTTATAGCTTTATTTTGTTTTCAATACTTCCAATTTATAAACTAATTTATTATATATTTAATTCATAAATTTTATAATATCCCTGACAGGTGATTTAAGAAATTATTTTGCATCAGTATAATTAATGTAATATGTTCCTCTTACCATATTTCGCGTAATTTGATACAGAAATTGTTTCCGTTTAACCTAACAATGAGTTCTTTAACCCACTGAGTTCGAGAAGCAAATCGCGGTCGTCATTCATTGTATTGCAACAACCTGAGTGGCTAATGAGGGATGACATTAAGAGTAACTTCAGTCTTTTACTTTTACTCGAATTTAAACTGTCGACGGCCACATGAATGTTGCTCTAGAAGTTGGGAAACACGTATTTACGTATTCACTTATTTTTTTATCCCACACTGAATATGAGTTAGGAAAAGTGCTGGATGTTGGTACTAAACTTTCGTTTTTGTATTTGAAAAATGATAAATTATTATACAGTATTTTAAATTACTCATATGGACAAAAAAATGTTTTAATTCATATACAATTTTAAATTAATATGAATTTAAAACTGTAACATTCAGGGGATTCAGAAACAAATTTGAATTCATATAACTTTAAAATTGTATGATTCCTAAAACTAAGAAGCAAATTGAAATTCATGTGAAATATTACAAAAATATTTCAGCCCATTTTCTTTCTTTCTTTCTTTCTTTTTTTTTTTAAATATTTCTGCTAACTATTACTAAAATTAGAACTAAACGATAATAACGTTTTCGCGTGAGGCAAATAGATTATACACGGAGGTTGAATAATTATTTGCACGGGTGAAATATGTGAAACGTTAATTCTGATCAAAGTCACAAACTAAAAAAAATGCTAGTCTTTGCGTTATATCTTCAAGAATTATAGATTAAATTTGTAATGATTTAGTAGACTCTCTTTAATTAAGATACTCTTGTCAAAGGAAAGGTCAAGTTCATTTCGTGTTAACGTAACGCTTCAATTTTTTGATGGCCATCCCGCCACCTGTCTGCGTGAGTAAAAACCTTATTTCATAAAGGCCTGCTAATTTCCGACATTGTGTGTAAAAGTAACGCAAGTTGTAAAAAGGATATCCCCATTTCACTCCAGCCTTTCACATTTACGTAAACGAGAACAATTGCCCCCGCTGAGTCGGCGGTTTGCTTAAACAGCCTCCCTTTTACTCGCAACTTGTTAAACGGAAACTCTCCGTTATTATCGTGAAAGCTGATGAAAAAAATGAAAACAATTTTCTTCCTTTGCAGCGAGCGACCTTTCGGCGAAATTTAAGTTGAATACGAACCGCAGTGGACTCTGTTGTTTGGTTGATGTGGGTTGCCGGGGCAACGGGGCGACGCTGGCTTCCACTGTCCAGCTGCACGCGGAGATCGACCGTCATTCCGGACAGATGTCGAAGCGGCGCTCGCGGGCCTCGGGCGCCATGGTCTCCTACGCGGAAGTGAAGAATTACCTTTCTCAGAGGGAGATCCCTCAACTCTTTGAAAGCCTTATGGCTGGACTCATGTACCACCGGCCAGAGAACCACATCGGATATCTCCAGACTTGCCTGGACGAGGTGAGGTCCGGCAGCGAGACTAGAGTGCAGTGGAGCACTTTCGTCAACGCCAAAAAGAGAAAATCTAAAGATATATTGCCGCCACTTACCCCTAAAAAGCAGGATTCCTTCTCATCCTGGTCTGATAATTCCCGCCAGAGTACTCCCTTGCCACCCATCAGCGCAAAAGCCAGAACTCCACCAGAGTCCAAGAATACATACATCCTGTACCACAACCCGCCGCCGGTCCTCGCCAAGCCTCAGGTACCCGTCCTATTTGTGTTGGGAGGTCCCGGAGCCAAGACAGACGAGCTATGCGAACAGGTTGTAGCGCGCCTTAGAGGTTTGGTCCACATCTCGATCTGTTCCATGCTGAAGACGCGGATGACAATCGAAGGCTTTCACAGGCTGACCTCTGTCCCTGCCTGCGCTGTCGTTGATTCCGTTTTGCAAGCTATGTCCATGGTGAAAAGCGCCGGAGCACTCCTAGGTACGTAAGTGTTTAAGTTGTTTACTTGATTATGTATTGTCAGTTTTGAAAACATCATCGGTTGTAAATCAGCGGAAAATATTTTATCTCTGAATCGAGATGAATTTTAACTTATCCCTCGCAATTCGACACTCAGTTAAAATTAATTTAATTATTAGAGATAAAAACGATATAAGCGATATTTTCTCCTAACTATGGATTCTGTAAGAAACTATTAGTAAATGTAAAACCTAGTAATTTTGGGTCTGCATATGTAATATAGGGCATTAGAAACATCCTCCATTAATTACACTAATGTTGCAGTTATTCATAGAATATTAAACGGATACAATATTAATAAAATGTACTAAAAATTTTATCGGCTCGATGGATTGTTAAAATCAAAATAAGCCGAAGGTGATCTCAGAGCCTTTGATCACTGGTGATCTCAGAGCCTTTGTTCACTGGTGACCTACGGATTGACTGTCAGCGATGAGGGTCGAAACGCGAAGTTTAAATAAGTGATTAAAATGTCAGTGCTAGTTGATGATGTTCTATAATATGACAGTGGGTAGATCATCAACATTGATCAGTTAGAAAGCCAATTTATTTAGATTCTGTAGCAACATCTGCAACGAGTGTTACTTTATATCATGAGTATCACAAAAAAAATAATAATATTAGTAATTTGTTATAAATGTTTTCAAAGTTTGTTCACTATCTTTCATTAGCACACTGTATCCTACTTCCAAATAAAATCGAACAAGAATGATTAAATTTGGTAGTTATAAGTAGTAACATACACACTTCATTCCTCATAATATTTTACTTCTTCAAACAGTATTACGTTTTTTAATAGTTTCATACTTTTTTCTTTCTACCTATTCGTTCTCACCCCCCCCCAATAAAAATCGAAAAATTGCACATAAAAACGAGTTTTTAAAATTTAATTCTTTCTGGCTTGCTATTTAATTTGATAACACTGTAAAAATTTTTTAATTTTTGTGTTAGCCATATCATTTCTTAGGAAGACAAACGTAATATTTTTATGATTTTTTTGGCATATAAAATTTCTTTATATTTCTTAATTTTTTTAAGAACTTCTTTTTTGAGCTTCTTCTTTGCTATCTGAAGTGAACAGATTGCAATTATTCGGCTACCACTCTGCGAATTTTGTCCTTTCTTTTTCATCCCCCTCGATTACAATACTACACTAATTATCACTTTTGGAGACAGTATTAGTTTCAAAATCATAGAAAATGCATTATCTCAGCGTCGAGACCAATTCTAATTCTTTAGTTAAGCTATTTGCCCAACGGCTCTCATCTTTCCAGCTGTCAGTTTCCAAAAGCTCAGTTCATAACACTATTAAACCACCAACGGCCAAGAGATAATATCGCTGCACACTGGTAATTCGGCCGCGGTTCTGAATAATGAATTGGGTACATGGCAGAGAGAGTGATTCCATAAAGGTTTCATGGTTTTCTCTATATGTAACACAAATTAGGTTGTGTAATTGATTAAAAAAGCAACTCGATTCCTATCTGCTTCTAACGCAAATGAGAAAGAGCCTTATTTTTCTTAGGAAGATCTTCGAGAAGCCATCTTTAGCTAAACTGATTTCAAATGCTTTGATGGAATAAATAAGCTGTTGAATCATTTTTTCTTAATAAGAAACGTACTGCATTGAATCAGGAATCTGAATATTATTAGTTAGATTTAATAACTAATTGAATGGTAATGCAAAACAGCAGGACAGAATCCTTCCTACTTTTGATAGTAATTATTAAATTTTTATATCACAGTTTTATTGGTTGAAGTTTTCTTTTATAGAACAAACATTGATGAACTGTTGTCGTTTATATCGCAGTAAGGGAATGTTACTACCGAAATTAAACATCTGTATTTGCACTTGCATTTTTTAATATATATTTCTTTTTACAGATTTTATATATGCAATACGTTGTTTTCATTTATGTAATAAAATCAGTCATTCAAAAACAATCATGTCATTTTGCAAGAAGCGCGTCAATGTTATGTTTTATGTAGTATAAATATTGCTATTATATTTAGAAATTCTAAAAAAAAGCATATCGTATGTTTTCAGTAATATATGTAGAGTAACGGAAAAAAAAAGACGTGTTCGTAGTTTCAAAGCTTTCTATATCCCTTCTCTGTTCACTCGTTTACACCAACTTTAGGAAGCCAACAGGATGATTGAACTGAGAAAAAACTTTTTAAAAAATGGATGCCAAGACTTAACTCTGTATCGGGAATTATAAACATATACTGCTATGCTGCTTCTAAAATTTTTGTAATTTTGTTATTGGATTGTATATGTTAAGTAGAAAGAAAATAAGTCTATAATAAAACTGAAAAGATAAAAACATAAAAAAGGGAAGAATTAGTACGAATGAGTGTAAAAGCAGACAGGTAAACTGCGAGCTCAGGGAAAGGGTAAAAAAAGACTTTCAACAAATACTTTTGGGTGACCGTTAAAATTTGAAACCTTTCAGTTTTTTTTTTTTTTTTAATGCGAAAGAAACACGTAAATGACTTGCCTTACTCAGACGGGACTAGTGAAATAGCATAGTATAACCTATTTCTATTGTGTATAGCAATAATATATGGTTTCAAACTAGTGGCCTTTTGATGGCATGCGGCCCCGAAGCAATTTTTCGCGGCCTGTGAATACATTTCAAGTATTTATTTGTTGGAAAGAGTTCAAGATTTTAGTTATTTAATTTCCAAGGTTACATAATTTTCATTACCATTAAAAACTAACATGATTAATACAAAAGAAGATCTACAAATGGAGCTAATTATTTTACGTTGCGATGTAAATCTTATTTGAAAGGAATCTATAATAAATGATTTGACAGATTTTATTAACGTTGTTTGTATTTGTCAAAAAATAAATACGCTCAGTTACAAATTTCTGCACTAAGAACATTTATATAAGATAATATTAAATGTATATTATCTCTTTACATTTATACAGCCTTTTTTTTTTTTTTTTTTTTTCTCAGTTGAAATTTAATAAGAAACGGATTCGAGTGATCGATGTGCATCTACAATCCGTGATGAACACAATTTCGAGTAATTTCTCTCCAAGCCTACAAACTTCATGAAAATTGAAACGCTTCAAAGGCCAAGCTGTAGTAAAAAAGTTTATAATTATTTATGTACAAACCTACTTATTTTTATATATACTTCGAAGAAAAATCTAATAAGACACTAGATTGTCATTACTTATTACCAAGTTTTATTCCACTTGGAAAATTTTCGTAATTTTCGTATGTTTAATTAAATTAAAGTTAATTAATGATTAATTAGACGTGTTTATAACTATTCTTAAATGGCACTTTAACATACAAATTTTCAAGCTGACTTTTATCTCAAATCACATTTGAAATAAATATCAGTCTTGATTTTTGAAATAAAAGTCGGTCAGAAAATTTAATACTTAGCTGTCAACTTATTTTAATTACAGAATGTAACTAAATAAAATATCTTGCAGGTGCACTTTCGGATAGAAAAGAAATATAAATTTGAATTTTTTTCCCTTTACGATATTATTATTATTGTTGTTTATACTATGTGTTAAAAATTTAGTAAGGGACATTGAAAATTTATTAAAAATGTTTTTAAATTTTGTTAATAAAATTTCAGTTTGTTAAAATAAAAGTTCTGTGGCCTGTCAGCTGTTTTCAGATTGTGCATTCTGCCTGAACGCAATTTCGATTTGAGACCATTGGTATATTATTGTATTTTATTAATTAATTGCGCATTTCTTATTTGAAAGAAAAATAGTATAAAAAGAAAAAAATCATAATATCTGAAAGGTATATTACCTTCTGAAGAAAATTAAAAGCGTAAACATATAAAGAAATCTACAAGTTATACACTACTAAAAGTTTTTATCATAACCATTTTAAGTCCACCAGCGGCCGAGTGGTAAAATCCTTGAACACTGATAGTTCTGACTTAGATTTGGATTTAGGCGAACGGGCTGGCTGCAGGGGTGTTTTCGTGTTTTTTTCAAACGTACACGAACCAGTTTCCCTCAGAAAGTCCTCCACGAACTCATCCCTCCTCTTAGGCAGATAACCCTAGAATTCTTCGCCAAACCAAATATTTGGATACCGTAATAAACCAAACCAATTCCACCAAATATTATCGCCCTGTGTAATATTCAGAGAAATTATGTAATGAAGAATCTGCATGAATGTATGTATGTTTCTCGCATTATGATAAAACAGCGGTACCTAGAGCAATCAAAGTTTGAATAAAGTGCGCCTCCACCCGAACATGGACATCTGGAAACCCAAATTAGGAATTTGTTTTATTATCTATTTCATATTTTGTAAAGCATTTATGAGTTTTTGATGAAGAAACTCAACGATTTCAAAGTGAGCCATGGCAACACTGTAAGGGAAAAAAATTATCTTTAGCACGCGACACTGTGTATCGGAAATTCTAAAGCTATATTCTTTTTAAATTATTTTGTGCTGTTTCTGTGGAATTGAATTTTAAGGTTTAGGTGCGAAGAACATGATATTTAATAAATAAAGATAACACACAAAACGTTAAAGAAAAGCCCCTTAGTGCGTAATATAAAATCTGAAATCTTCAGATTATTTTTTTTAAGTTCTCATAATTGAAAAATTAGTTTTATAATAGATATGTGGTCCGAAAGAAGTATTTGCATAAGCAGAGACAAATTTCGCTTACATTAACGCTTAAAATCTCGTGCCATTGGCTGCACAACTCGAAATGCAAAATTTCCTTTTCTGTCAAAGTTGTTGCAAATCAACGATGCATGATATCTTTCATTTATCTTCCGTATTGCGTTACTGCGTTACTCATCACTACTCATATGGCGTTGCTAACTGCGTTACTCATCAGTGTAAGAAGCTAATCATTTAAAATTTATTTTATATGTACTTCTTATACCATTTTTCAACAAGTGTTATTTTATACCTGTAGCCTAAGAATAAAAATATTTTAATAATTATAAC